AAAATCTTTAAAAAAATAAATAAATAAATAAAATAGTTACATTGTGTCGTGTATATTATTGATTTGAGTGGCACCTTTAATAACCAGAATAATATTTTCTCGGCAAAGCCCTGATGAATTAATGGCATTTTCCTCCTCTGTCTCATTTATCTATTTTCTGGCTTGGCATGGAGCAAAATGTCTGGGACCCAGATGAAAACCCACAGACAATGGATCCCTCAGCAGTTGGTAGCTTAGGTCTCCCCAGGGCAGCTACACTGGTAGGGCCTTCCAGCCTCCCCCAAGGGCTCTCCTGGGCCAAGGGGCATCCCAAATCCAGGGCCAGAGAGGAAATGGGGCAAGCATGCGATACCACCTTTTTTTCTTTTTCAAGTTTTTATTTAAATTCCAGTTAGTTAACATAAGTCTACCTACCACTTTTAACTTCAGCTATCTCTGTGACTTATGCTCTTTTTTGTTGCATTAAAGCTGATGGATCAGTTAACCCCAATGAGGAGATTAAAATACGACTCAAATCACTATTTCAAAGAAGTATTACTTTCTGAGTCATATATCAGTTTTTTTTTTTTAAAAGAGGGTGAATAGTTTGTGATGACAGCTAAATAAGAATGTAGGTTCTCCAAAAAAATTACATAGAGTATGTAGTCAGAATATTCTGCTTCATGAAAGACATCAAAATAAGGAACAATGGGCATTCTTACTGAGCTCTTAGTAAGTTTGCCAACTCTTACCTTCACTGTGTACTTTCAGATTTTAAATTATATGTGTTAACATAATAGCTTTTACTTTTATGAAACCAGGTAAACAAAGCTTCATTCATTTGTTTTAGCGGCTCTTTTAGAAGGTTCTCTAATAACTGTGTCTTATCTTTTGTTTCCAACTGCTTATGGCTATGACAACAAAGTGTTCCCCTCAAACAATGATATCATTTTGTTTGAGACAGAGTTTATACAGACTTTTATTTGGTGTCTGGCCTTTTCTTCTAACACCTCCCGGAAGCCTTCTGTTGCCACCTTCCCATGACCACATGTTTCTCTGTTTCACACTGGTTCATAAAACACCTGGCCAGTGTGTCCATGGCCCAGGTTAGCCTCAGTTATTTATTAAATCATGGGGCAGAATCAAGCACCCAGCAGAAACCGTAGGGCAGAAACCACAGGTTGTGTTCTCTGATACCGATCTCCAGTCAAGTTACTTGAGAAACTGTTTTGAATGTATTTGCCTGTTGTCACCTTTTTTAAAAAAACCTAGCCACAGTCCAAATGTAAGAGTTTATTTGAATATTTTCCCCGTAGCCTTCTAGGTCAGCCTTCATTCCTTAGATAGGGCTCCTAGTCAAATTCGGAGATGTCAATTTATTACCTTGATTTTTTTTCAAGATTCTAAATGAACACACTGCATTTCTACTCTTCTTTGTAATATTTACAAATAAAGCATTCAATAAAACTTTTATGTGCTACAGTCTACTAGACCAGAGGAAAGAAAAACTTACTGCTAGAATAATTTTTGCAAGTTTAAGGCTGAGCAAGTCTGAACCAATATCAACTAGTTTATATAGGGTCTTCAGGAGAACACTTCTTCTCTTAAATTTATTTCCAAGCATGTTTCCTTCCTCTAAAGCGTGATGAAGTTGTGCGCAAGCAGCACAAATCGTTTCAATTTTTTCTTCTGTCAGAGCAAAGAGAGTAAAGCAGCACTTACTAATTAAGGTCAAGTTTTCAAGTGTGTCAAACACAGTGTAAGTAAAACCCCGTAATTATTTCCCCGAACATCTTCAAATTCCTGAACTATGTTTTTTCCCTTCTCTTGCAATTTCCATCTACCTGATTTTTTTTTTTCACCTCATTGATCCACCTCCCACCATGTTGACTTATTTACCCATCAGTCAGCTTATCTAGAACACACGGTCTTTCAAAGAGCGTATTAAAGAATGGAATTGCACCGATTCCAGATGGCCTGCTTTATTCCAAATGCCCTCCACCTCACAGTGCTCGCTTCAGTCTCAGGGAAGCCCACCACTATGTCTCCACCTCCAACCCTTTGGGGCATAGTTCCTCTGGCCTAGAATGTTCTCCTCACCTTCATTCCTACTGATTTGGGTCCATCAAGGCTCTGTTCACATTCTGGCTCCTCCAGAAAAGATGTACCATTCCACATTCAACAAACATTACTTGGTACTTTGTTATTTTTCACATACCTATGTATGTTGTGTTCTATGTCCAGTGCCCTCAAGCAGATGTCATGCTAAGTGAGGAGGAATCGTGTCTTTGTATCTTTGTATCAACAGAGCATGGTTCAGTGAGAATACTGTACTGACAACCTATCACATAGTTTAATGTATATTCGTTTTCTAATATATCTGCTGATGAAAACAATGATCAATATTTTTCTATGAGAACAATGCTTACTATCTGAGAAACGAGGGCTCAAAGGGAACAAAAATCTCAAAAATGCCACTTCATCCACTGTTACTTGCAGGTGGTTATTACAAGAGAGGAGAATAAAAAGAAGACTTCAGTTGGGAAACAGGAGAAGCCTAGAACATGTTATTTTATAGTGAGAATTCTGAGGACAGCAATCTTTGAAAGTGGTATCCATACCAATAGGCATGCAAGGAAGAAAACTAGCACACAAAATGGAACCTGAGGGGAAATCTGAGAATCCAAGTCTGAGATATTCAGTTGAAAAATATTATCTGATAGATCCCATCACAAAATTTAAAATTAGGAAACCAATCTTAAATAAATACCATAATGTGCTTTTAAAAGCCCACATAGAGGAAGTGTGCGCCTGAAGAAGGAAATGACTCAGGCCATTTTTAGCTCTTTTCAACAATAACATCTAAGAAAAAATGTTAAACCTCAATAGCTCGGTAACCTTCAATGCCTTTCGGTTATGCACTTAAATAAATGAATTTTTGGGAAATGACTTAGACTAACTTTAAATAAAAGGAAAAACCTGAGCTCTATTGTAAGAACACTTTTGTTTTGTTGTTTTATTCTTCTGTTCCTGGCAGTTTCTTCACAAACCCCAAGTCCAGGCCGTGGGCCACTCTCTGGCAATGGGGAAACCTCAAGGCATTTTTCTAACACTTCCCTCTACAAACTCTTCAGCCTGGTGGGTTCAACGAGGAGTAGCTGTCTTAGTTTAAAATAAACTAAAAAAGGAAGTTTCGTGGGTCAAGTTCTAAACTGTTGATCAAATTAACTCTTTATACCAGTTGGTTTGTTATAAATGCTGTAGAGCCTCAAAAGACAACTTGAACTTAAGAGCTTTCAACATTCTCAAGGGGCTAAAGCTAGTGGGTAAAAGTTGGATAAGTAATAGAAAGCAATGTAGCCTCAAAGTAACGTCTCCCCATAAGATACTTATTAATTACAAAGGGGGAAATAGTAACTTTACAGTGGAAAAGCCTGGACATCACCTTCCCCAAGTGATCAAAATTCCCACCCCAGTAAGAGATCAGAGCAGAGTCATGTGCCTACCGCCATGGGGCACTGAGAAGGACCCAGCACCACGCATGCCATATACCTGGCCCAAATGCCTCATCTGGGTCTAAGTGGGAGAAAATACCAGACCAAACTCATTTGTGGGGGCAGTCTATAAAATAATTGGCCTGTACTCCTCAAATATATCAAGATCATGAAAAGAGATATGACAAATAACTTGAACTTATGATCCAGGATTTTCTTTTTCTATAAAGGAAATTATTAGGATAACTGGCAAAATCTGAATAAGGTTTGTATAGTATGGTATGGTAGTTTCCAGATATGTAACAGAATGTCCTTGTGTCTTAAAATATATGTTAGAGTACTAGGAATATGGGACATCATGTTGGCAACTTGTTCTTAAACGGTTCAAAAAAGGAAAAAACAATGTGTGTGTGTATGTGTGTGTGGTGTGTGTGTGTTGGGGGGTTACAGAGAAAACGAGCAAGAGGGTGGAAGAGAGAGAGGGAATAATGAAGCAAATGTGGTAAAATATTAATATTTGGGGACTCGGAGGGAAGGGCATACAGGATTTCTTTGTACTATCCTTGACACTTTCTTTTAAGTCTGAAATTATGTCAAAATAAAAAGGAAAATAAGAAAGGCAGACCCTCAAAAGCTCAAGTAACCCAATCCTGCCACCATTCACTGTTCTTAAAGTTGAGGGGAGAGATGCCATACTTCAGGGCCAACAATCCTCTGAGAAGGGAGATTCATCCACATTCCAAATTCCAAACTCTGGTTCACTTTTCTTTGCTGGTGTCCCCAGAGCTCTCTTAAAATCCTTCAGGCTGAGACTTCCTCCGGGACAGGCCTTCATGCTGCAGGCCATCCTCCCCACTGTGTTCTTCCTAGCATGTTCTCTGTTTTAACCTTTGCTCAGACTGACTGCTCTCCTCACTAGTTTTTGCCCACATCTCCTAAAATAAAGGGCCCAAAGTTAAAATTAGGAACTCCAGAAGGAGAACAGTCATCCATCGGGGTTTTGAGCTGCCATGGACAGTGATGATGGTCCAGTCTAAACCACCCTCACCTGCCATGCGAACACTGCCACGCATAGAGATTAGGTGGCTGCCCATAGCCACGTGCTTAGTTGGTAGCAATACCAGGACCAGAACCCCTGCCTGGGGCACCCGCAGGAGCCACGAACATGGCCAAGTACTAAAAGGGAGCCGAGGAGCAGTGAGGTTATTTGAACCTTTTAGGAAGTAGGTCTTCCTTGCTTGTTGGGGAGGACCTCTTTACCATGCTTCTCCTAGGGTCTCTTCTTGAGCCTATCATGTTGGTTTGCTCATCCATGGAGTACTCGTTCCACAATGCCTAGTGAGGGCTACTGTGTGCTGTGTGCCGGGCTTAGCTGGGGGCCATGACTGTGGCTCCAGCGGAGCCCATTTCAACTCCAGAAATGGAATTCCCAAGGGGTGGCAAAGGAGAGAAAGCAGGGGCCATTCTCTTGACAAGCTTTCCGTGGGTCACCTTTGCAGAGACCCATTGATCATGGGCCTTCCCTGCTGGGGAACCTCACAGTGCAAGGGCTGGGCACACCCCAGGCCACCTCCAGCTCTGGGTGGCATTCCCAACAGGTGAGGTAACCTTAGGAGAGTAGGACATATACATTTGGATCTAGAAAACCATGGGCACACCTCCCAAGGATGCCAGTTTATGAGACTTAGTCAAAGTTTCAGGGACCTGAAATCTGTTTTAATCTTTCACTTTCATGTATTAACTGCCACCCCAGAGAGTTCAAACCAGCATTTACTTGGGCAGACAGAAGGTGATAATTAATATGTATTCCATGGGGAGTTTTAGAAGTAGGCTCTCTTCCTGAATTTAAAGTATAATTTTTACCCACTAAAAATTAGGTTTACTTGTATTTCAAACGTACATTACTGGATGAATAAAGAGATAACTTCATTTGTTTCTGAACACGTTCACAAAAATGGTAGTCAAAGCATACCAAAGATATCAGGGCAATGGAGAACATAGAAATAGCTAAAGATATTCTCAATTTAAAAGAAAAACTTTTTTTGTTACCCTTTTCTAATTCTTGCAAAATTGGTACGATCCTTGTATTCCAAAAGACTTCATCTACTTCTATTTCTGTCTCCTTTTCTTGCACGTCGGCTTTTGAGACTGCAAAAGAAATCCAGATCAGGAGAAAGCTGTGAACAAGGAGGTATACCTGGAGTACCATCACAAGTCTTTGTTGTTCATCACTAAAATTAATCAGCTCTGGAATTAAACTACACCTCACCCCCTAAGCCCAACTAATTCTAATTAGAACTACATGTCTTTTAATCAAATTACCCCACATCAAACTCAGATAAGATCATGCAAAGAAATCAGAACTTTAAACTCTGGTTAGGACACTGCATGATGTCTTAAGCTTCAGAAATGTTGGAATTGTTGTCAGTAAGGCAAATTAAATGGTTGTTTTTTATTTTTTTTTTTTAAGATTTTATTTATTTATTTGAGAGACAGAATAAGATAGAGAGAGAGCATGAGAGGGGGGAGGGTCAGAAGGAGAAGCAGACTCCCTGCTGAGCAGGGAGCCTGATGCGGGACTCGATCCCGGGACTCCAGGATCATGACCTGAGCCGAAGGCAATCGCTTAACCAACTTAGCCACCCACGTGCCCCCCCCTTTTTTTTTTTTTAAAGTAAGCTCTATGCCCAACGTGGGGCATGAACCTGCGACCCCGAGATCAAGGGGTCACACACTCCACCGACTGAGCCAGCCAGGCGCCCCGTACTGCAAATAGTTTGAGTTATTTTTTATTTAAACTTACCACTCTATAATGTGGGATAAATAGAAAACTATAAATATGTAAAGAATAAGGATTTTGAAAGTGTTCAATGAAAACTTTTCTGAAAAGGAAGGCCTTCAGAGAGGCTCTCTTTCCTACACAAAATGAAATGGCCACATCATTTTAAGGCCACTGCCATTACTGCCAAGTGAATTTGTGTGGGGTAGTGGGAAAGGCCTGTGCTTGGGGCGCTGACAGATTTCAGTTCAAATCACAGCTATTGTATTGATGCACTGGTTGGCTGGGGTCTGGCTTCTTATCCTTTCTGAGCCTCATCAGTGAAACAGAGATGAAAATCTTTGCCTTCGGGGCTCTGAGAATTAAGAGACATGATATAGGTAAAGCTCAGAGCCCAGGGTCTGGGATCCAGGAACACTCAATAAACGTGAATTTCATTTTCCTGATTAAAAAACAACAGGTCACCACTGTCTGAAGTTCATCCGGCTGCATGATACCACTGAGTCATCAATATTCGATGTTGCCCGGGAACGTAGGCTCTAGAAAAGGAAAAGCTAGTTGCCATTGGCTGGGTCCTTTAAGAGGCAGCGTGTCTCTACTTAATTTTGATAACATAACAAGGAGGTCCCCAAGTTGTCTCCATTTTCCAGAGGAAGAAAGTGGGGCTCAGGGGCATTAGGCTACCTGCCCAAGGTCATACAGCTCCATTGCCCTTGCTCTTGACCTCTATGCCATTCCACCCCACAGCAGAAACAGTAAACTGAAAGTTGACTTTGGAGGGCAATGTGCATCATATTAGGAACTGCAAATCATGATTACATTTCACACAGGAAATACCCCACTCTCTAAAGCACAGACCATGTAGCTGGAGGGGGTACCGCAGTGCGGACTCTCAGGAGCAATGCTAAAGACAGCCTCCCTTCTCCCTTCTGCTCCCTCCCCATAGGGTCCTCTCATGGCACCCAGTCTCTACTGGTTCAGAGTCTGTACCTGCCCAGAGTGGACCTGGTACCAATCATTCAAATGCCCACAGCGGGTGCCTAGATCCCAAAATGTCACACGAAGAGTTAGAAATGATAGGGACAATCAGGGTTTCATAGAAAGAGAGCAAGAGAGCAAGAGCAGTGAAAAGGCAGATGGCCTATATAGTTTTAGGTTATTTTAACTGGAAAAAAAAAAAAAAAAAAGACCAGCCGACCAGGGAGGCCTGTGATGGCGTAGGTTCTAGAATCACTGTCTGGGTTTGGAGCCTAGCTCTGGGGTTGACTGTGGGCAAGTTGCATCACTTTTCCTCTATAAAATGAGGTAACGATGGTCATCTCCAAGTATTGGGATGATGGGTTATTAATTTCTTTTATGTGCGCCTGTATTTTCCCAAACCTCTCATGCATTTGTGTTACTCTTGAGAAGAAAAGAAATATATAATACATATTAAACTTCCCAAGCACATGGTAATGATGTCACCCAGGAGAAACAGGAAAGCTATGTGATTTACCCATCCCTTCCAGTGTGTAGGCCTTCCTCTAATACTCCACGCTGGAAACAGCCACCCCAGGCGCAGTGAGTCCAGGCTTGCTTTTTCTCAAACCTTCCTGACACCAAAAGAGGACCATGCACACTGGGCGTGAGGAGCCCTTGAGCAGAAAAAGTAGATAGAGAGGGGTTGTCAACAAAGCTGTAATTCAGTAGTGTAGGTGTGCTGTCTACAGCTTTAATAGCAAAGTTTGCCATCATTTGTCTAACCCCTAAGGAAGAATTCATGAAATGCATGGGTGCATTGTCTTTCGGACAACATCAGTCCCTATCGGTACAGGTTCACAATCCCTTACCCAAAGCCTTTGGGCCAGATGTAGTTTGGGAATAAAAAAAATTTGAATTTTAATAAGGCAATAGGGTACACACACTGCGTATCATGCACCACCCCCGGTAGGGTCTTCTGGGGCGGTGCCCTGCGCCAGGGTCCGTGCATATTTTCAAGAAACAAAACAAAGACTATTCTTGGCCTCCCATCAGCTCAGCTCAGGCATTGCCACTAAATGAGTTTGAAAAACACTTCAGCTTTCTGAGCCTTCCCAAGCTTCAGTTTTGGGATTTCAGAATTGCAGATAATGGATGGGAGACCACCATCTCAATCTTTTGGGTCATTACTTTTATGAGTCTACCCTAACTTTGATAAATTACAGGTATGGACTCAAAAAATAAACCTGAATATTCAAGCAGGATAAAACCCATGGTTGTTCATATTCTCAGGTATCTGCCCAAGTCCAAAGCATATGAATACAGTCAACATATATCAAGGCAAGTGAAAAGCCAGAAGATAATAAGTCAGACAAATAACTTAATCACCAAATATTTACGGCACACTTAAAATTTACTAGAAATACAGACTCCAAGTCCAATAAGTTCAACTCAGCACTTTTACTTCCTATGCAATATGCTCTTTAATGAATAGCTCTATGAGGAACCACGATTATCAATCTGTTTCTTAGGACAAACAAAATCAATAACACGCTCACCCCAGGAAGAGTGGAATTACAGGGGTGAGCCAGAAATCACAGAGTGGTTTATTTAACCTTGGCAAAGGAAAGGCCCTTGCAGGCCCTTCTGAATGGTTTTAAGGCTTGTTCCTTCTCAGAGCAGAAGTCAGCCAGACACTGTGGCATAAGGGTTCTCCCAAGAATCTCAGGGCGAGCGGTTGTGTCCAGCCATGACCTTTTCTGTGTCTCCACCCACTCACCTACCTCCTCTAACTCTGCTTTCTGCAAAAATCCCATTTTCTATAACTAAACCACTCTCCACTCCAGCAACTGAAGCATGGAATCCTGTGACTACTCTTGAAGATCTACAAAAATTAAATAAAGTTTGCCTCAGTCTTGGGCAACAATCTAATATTTTAGAAAGCACTTTCATCTAGGTTCACAGTTTGCTAAATATAAAAATTATGATTCAACAGGAAATTGGGTAAGTCAAGCAGAAATTTCAGCATGTTTTTGACGATTTTGCTGTCTCAGTGGTTATAGTTTTTAACCACAGCTTTGAGTTCTGGACACAAAAACTTGACACAATGTTTATTGGCTGATGTTTTTAGCAAGTAAATGTAAAATCCTTAGCAACAATGCTGATGCGGAAATCAGTCTAAGATTTTCCTGAGTGTTACAGAAATTCCTATTGGCCACAAAAGTCATTTTATTGATAAAGAATTAGTTTTGAAAGTGATAAAATATTTTTTGAACCTGATATTAGTTTGGTTTTATAAAATTTCACGTGCAAAAAAAAAAAAAAAGTGAAAAATATAACAAACACCTGTGTGCCCACAAATAGTTTGGTCAAATACTAATGGTATTTTTATCCTCCCCTTTATTTCAAAAAAATAAACATTACAGATAGAGTTGCCTCTTCTTATCTGTCTCCCCTCCTCCCTCTCCCTCCAAGGGTTACCACCATTGTAAATCAGGTGGTTATTTTTATCATGTTGGACTTTGCATGTCACCACATAGATCTGTATCCATAAACAACGTACGTCATTGTTTTTGCAACTTAATGCTTTCATGTAATATTATGTTTGTACTCATTTCAGTCAATATCATAAGTGTGACTGCTATATTTCATTGTGTGAATACACTTTGCATCATTTCTAGCCTGTGATTTATATTGTTGTATATTTTTTCTCAAACCGATTAAAGCCCCTAAAGGCTGTCTTCATACAGTTACTATAGTTTCACTTAAGTGAGCAATGATTTTGAACTCTGGTTTTGCACTCAAGAATTATGTTGATGTCAAGCTTTGCAATTTTCCAAATACTTTTACAAAATAATTTCTTGCACGCTCACTAAGACTATAATCTACAGATGTCTGAGGCCCTAGAGCTGGGTAATAGTAAGAATTTTAAGACTGTTGTGAAAATAATAAAAATTTCTAAAAACAAATGTTGACGTGCAGCCAAGTTGGATGAAGTTACTGGAGTTTTCAAACAGTGAGCCAACATGAGACATCTTCAGTGGAAATGTGAGATGCTTAAGATGAAGAAGTTCTGGAGACCTCTCAGCATACGAGCACCTCACCTGCTCTGGTTTCAGGTCTGCTCAGGTCTGAGCTGTTGAAACATGATGAGGCTCTTGAACACCTCTTCCCCTGGTCCCTAGGAGGAAGACGAATACACACAACGCTCAGAGCAAAAACCAAAGCATTTCTCTTTCTCTAAGTATAGAGCTGGCTATATGCAGGTTGTGAAGAAAGCATAGAGGATTGTTTATAAGACGGGGTCTGGTGTTCTATAGTCCTTTAATCAACATCGGATTTCCAGCTTAGATTTATCTATCAAAAAACAAGACAGAGCTGCTTCACAGTATTAAATACAGTTACTAGAAACAACAACAACAACAACAAATCCCAAGTTTACTTTGCAAATCAAAAAAAGGAGAAAAAAAAAAAACTGATGAAGGATATATACCACAAGAGGTCACTGTGACAATAAGAAAGAACTCAGGTCTGAGGGACTCAAAAAAGACCAGTGTTTAGAAGCTGGAAGGGACCCTTGCTCTCTGTCTCCCTGCGCACAAGGAAATTGTTCTCAAATTGGTCAGCTGTGCCCCAGGTCACAAAGCAGGGTCAGATCTGGAGACCCGCTCTCACAATTTCCGATTCACGGCTCTTTCTATTTCATCACAGAGTGTCCTGTTTCCACTTTAAATAATTCATTAAATTCATATTCTTTGAAAAATGCTTTATTTTTTGAAATAATTTAAATGTGAAAAAACGGAAGGTGAATTCAGGCAGCCCCCAGATGACAAATATTTTGTGTTCCAAATAAAAGAGTAGCGGTTGGCCAATAGTAGGATTATATTGCCAGGTTTGTCTGGGGTTTGTTTTGTTTTGTTTTGTTTTAAGGCTATATTTAATGTAGAGACCATCCAGGAAGGATACAATTTTTCTTTAGCTAAGCTGACACTTAAAAGTACTCACTTTTAAATATCTGTACACAATTCCAAGGTAAAAAACACTGAGTGCAAGTTTTACAACAATTTTTTTTGGGGGGGTCATCAAATAAAAGATTTGCTACAAAAAATCACAAAGAACGCATACACATGTGGCCAGGGTCACTCACAAACACCCAGATGTGTGCCTATGCAGTAAGATCCCCAGTAAATGTTCAGTGCTCTATCCTGGCCCTTGGCTTTTACTGCTGCCCAAGGATTAGCTTCTCCAAACACCATTTTTCCCATAAACAGGCCCCTTTTTTAAACACTTGATTTAACACTTTTTATCATTTAGTAGAGAAAAGACCAAGCTAATCTTTCCCAAAATGTGTAATTATTTCATACCCTGAAACAATTGCTTTATTTTTACACAGCATAAAAACATAGATCTGGTAGCAAGAGGTCCCTGGCCAATCAAAGAAAGAGTATGGGGATGGGATCTTCTGTGTCAACACTCTCAGAGTTGAGATTCAAATGGAACAGACCTACTCTACCCTATGAGAAGGGAAAATACCGAAAGTTTGACAGGATGTGAAGCCAAGGAAGTTCTCGTACTTATCACTCTTAGAAATAACAAGAAAGTCTGAGAACAATAGAGGCAGGGTCTTCTTGTCATTATTGTCCTCAATAACTATTGAAACTGAGGAAAATAGTTTTCAACTAATGGCTTTCTAAAGTCACTGGTCCACACTCTCTGAGTCATGGCCGCTGATGAGGTTGCCTCCCTACATACCACATTTGTGTATCCCCACGTACGGGTGTGGGGTGGGGGGAAGAAGGGTCCCTCTTCTTAGTGTATACCAAAGCTCAACAGTGCTGGGTCCTGCTGGTTCTCAAGAAGAGCACAGGATTGGGATTTACTAATACTCCCTATGATCATCATTGTACAGTGGTTGAGCTTGCAGACTCTGAACCCAAACTACCAGGTCCTGGGTCCAACATTTATCAGCTACATAGACTTGGGCAACTCACTTAAGCATTTGGCCTTGGTTTTCTTTTTTTTTGAATTTTTTTTTTTTATTCTTATGTTAATCCCCATACATTACATCATTAGTTCTAGATGAAGTGTTCCATGATTCATTGTTCGTGCACAACACCCAGTGCTCCATGCAGAACGTGCCCTCCTCAACACCCACCACCAGGCCAACCCATCCTCCCACCCCCCTCCCCTTGGCCTTGGTTTTCTTATCTTGACATGAGGGCAATGCCTCTCCTTAGTACAGTGACTGGTACATTTGAAGAACTTAATAATCAATATTGGTTTTCTCTTTTGTTCTGAATCAATAAGCACCTGTCTGACTAGTCCAATGCTGGATGTTATTGTGATAAAGAACATATAAAGCGTTGCCCTGAAGAAGTCTAAAATCTACTTTGAGGAACTAAGCAACTTTTTTTTTAAATGGAAAATTCCAAGGAAGTCTCTAATCAAGTGTTAGATTGTGAAAGCCAGCAGGTTACAAGAACTAGAGGGATGCTGGGAAGGAAGTGATGAGTGAGAGGGAGAAGTGGGCCACAAAGTAGTCTTAAAAGCATAAAAGTGGAACCAGCAAGTGATAACACTACTCTCAGGAGGGGAGGAACATGAGTGAAGGTAAAGAGGAACATGAGCAGCCTGGGACTCAGGGCAGGGGATAATTGTACAGGGCCAGCAAGGTAGGAATAGGAGGTTTCTGCTGGGACACATGGGAACAGCTGCCTGAAACTCTGGGGAGAGGCGATGGCCCTGGTCTGATGGGCATAGGTTCTAACACGGGAAGTAATGGGCTCTGGAGTTGTGACAAGAGCATTTAGGAGACTTGGAGACAGGTAACAAGAACTAATTCTTTGGGGGTGCCAGTAGGACTGGAGAAAAAGGAACAAATTGAAGAGATCCTGCAAATGAAAAGTTGACAGGATTGGTGGTTGATTTCAGGCAGAAGAAAGAGCAGAAGGCAAGCCTGGAGGAACAGGATAGCAGGTTACCATCAACAGAAATGGGAAGGTTAGGGAGTAGAACAGTTTGAGGACTGAAACACATGTGAGGTTTGCCATATTGAGTTTCGGATGAAAAATGGAGGATCAGCAAAGGAGATGTGGAAATCAGGGAAAGAGCACTTTTAAAGATCCAAGTGGCACACAGGGACTAGAGTGATCAGGTTTGTGGCTCGAAGACCAGAATCTCAGGACCAAGCCTTGTCAGATACTCGTGTAAAGGATAGAAAAGAGGAAAAGGAGTCCAAAGGAAAAGGAGAAATAAAATATGTTCTCATGCAGCCCAAGCATTCTGAGAAGGCAAGCATGATTAACAGGTCAAAGATGAACACTGAGGAAGAACTGTCCCGTCTGACCAGGGTAAGCCGAACAGGATTTCTGGGGAGCAGGGCAGCTAAAGTCCCACAACCAGAGTGAGGTGGGGAGAGAGACATCAAGAAAAGAAAATCCCCTCTCTGCCCAAGAAGAGACTAGATGGGCTTATAGTTAATGGAGATCTGTTCTCCTGTAATTTCCACTCCACGAAACTTCTCAGTTCTTAATGTACTAATTGAAGCCACATGAAACAGAGCTTTATCCTTCTTCCTCTCAATAATTCTCCATATACTTAAAAATGTGGTGTTCGCCACTTAACGTCCTCTCCTGGGGTTTAAATCCCATGGTCTTATTAGCTACATTATCAGCTAATTATGATCACATTTATTAGCTGTGTGACTTCATGTCTGCTTTTCACCTAAGCTTTGGTTTCCTCATCTATACCTGAGGGGGTGGTAAATACTAGTAACCCTCTATATAAGGTTGTTGTGAGGATCAAACGATGAAATGTGTAAGTACCTTAGTAAGTACCCAGTGAGTGTTTACTATCGTTGCGACTGCCATCACTGATGTCACTGACAAACTTCTCCAGTCCCTTTAGCTCCTCCTTAGAGGACGTGGTTTCAAATCTCCTTGCCAGCCTATTCAGTTACTCTGAGTGAGTGTCACTTGGTCTGGATCCGTATTAAAGTCTGGAACCCAGCACTGAGCTAAAGGTATGGCCTGAGGAACAATGAAGAGAGATTCTAAATAATGTAGCCTAAGACTATATTAGTGGTTTTGGTGGTCACAGCACAGAGTTAGTCGATTCTTGGTTTTTCTTACAAATGCAGCTAAGGCAAATTTCCCCCATCCCCGGTGGACTCATTAAATTTCACAGTGTTATATTTGGCAAAGGGTTCCTGTCTATCAGATGTGTCTAGATCTTGATTCAGTCATACAATATAATTCTTCTTCCCAGCTTCCTGTTCCAAGTTGTCAAAGACCATAATTAATTTTTGTGCAATGATTTTTGATGTCCAACAATAAAACCATTCCAGAAATTATTCTTTAAAGCTCTTTTGTGAACTTCTTCTTAGAGGCAGAATAACACCATTTAATTAGTTAGGGTATCTTCATCTACATATAACAACAACAACAAAAAAACTAATCCTAACACACTTAACCAGTAAATAGAATGTATTGGCTCATATAACCTAAAAGCCGAACACTAGGGTGGGTTTTAGGTGTGTGTGATCACGGCGTTGGCTCCATTTTTCTGCGCTTCTCTCAGTTCTGCCCTTCCTTCGGTTCCATCTGTAACCAGGTGGGAGTGCTAAAGACAGCAAGATGGCTGTGGCATTCCCAGGCCCCTGATCTACTGCCAACATGCTTCAGAGCAAAAGCAAGTTCTTCTCTTCCCAATCACTGACAGGAGTACTACATTTCACTGAATAACCAGAACCAAGCTCTCTAGCCAAGGCAATGCCATACGCAGACTGACGGAGTTACTAGTGCTCATCCACCATTCAGTCACATTGGCAACATCTACTTCTGGACCATATATACATGGAAGAAATAAAGTATATTTCTTTAAAAATATTCTAAAATGCAGATTTTCCTATTATTTAGACAGTTTTCCCAATTATTATGATTAAGTCAGAGGTCAGCAAACTTTTTCTTAAAAAGCCAGACAATATATGTTTTACATTTTGCAGGCCAAATGGCAAAATAGAAGCTACCATATAGGTACTTTTGTAACCATTTAAATGTAATGACTTAAAAAGATGTAATCCATTCTTGGCACAAGGGCTGTAAAACAAAACGAAACAAAACAGGTGGCTGGCCAGGTTTGGCTCCTGGGCTATAGTTTGTTGACTCCTGCTTTAAAGCAGTA